ATATATATAGAAATTTAAAAAGATGCCATTGAAGAAATGTTTTTCTATTATTTTCATGTCATATGCATGATGCTCTAACAGTAATTTGCTCATGTCAAGTGAAACATACAGCATTAAAGACAGAATTCTCTCTATTTATAACATTGGCAATGTAAAGGTACTTTGTTTCGGAATGGACAATTTTTAACAAGCATCTCAAAAAAGGCCACAGTTAAATGGGTTTCTGTGCACTGGGGTTTTCTTATATAAAAATAAATATCACATGTCCTGGGCTTTAGAGAAATATATATTGTTACTGGCTAGGTGTCAACATGTTCTTTTTATGTAAGAGAAACCCAATGTTTCGGAATGGACAAATTTAACGTAAAAACACGGTAGGGTTATTTTGCACTCCATGTCAAGCTCCAGAATCATCGCGCAGATTTCATTATTTGATACAAACAATACCAATACATCCAAATAATGATTAGGATGGTAAATAATACTGTATGTTTTATGATATATTTTCTGAAAGTCATTTATTTTTGTTTCGGAATGGACATTTCGTTTAACGGAAATACCAGCATGCCATCAAAAGGCTTTTTTTTACTAGGATACACCTCTCTCCTGTTAATATTTAAACTTTTTTGCTTCCACCATACTACTAAGTGTTTTATAATCCAAAAAAATGCAATGTCAAACACTGTTTTAATTTATTTCAGATTGCTTTTTATTTCATATGACTAAAACGGGAAAATTTTTGGTCATTTTTCGGGCTTTGCTTTAGCATAACTTTGGACTCGGTGGTGATATTTGGTTTCTATTTTCAGTGTTTATCTTCACTTACACCATTCTCTAACATAGTGATAAAAGAATTCTTTGATTGTATGTATGTAATTTGTTAATTAGCAATATGTGGGAAAATCTGAAAAGTGCCCAGGATTGTAAAAATGCCCATATACAATCCAGAGTCCATCTCAGTTTAAATTCCAAATGTTGTTTTTAACTTCAGCTCAAGTCTACCTGAGGTGAATTTGCAATTCTAAGATGAAATATATTTTGTAAACAGTTTAAAGAAAGAAATGGACAATGTTTAACAATGATATGTTGATATTATGTTAACAATGAACAACTACATATAGTATATTGAAGTAGACATTTAATGGCAAACCCTTACATGACCACATAACCCAGTACTGGAGGTTGGTTTAATTTTAATCCCTGCACTGTGAAACAAAAAAATCTGTATTCAGCATAAGAAATTAGCTGCGTCAGTCATTGTCCAAACAGACGTCATCTATTTCTGATTAAATATTAAAGTGGGTGAAGACTCATGACTTCTTGGTAGATAATCAAGTGAAGATTTTTCTCTTTTAGATGTTATTCCAGTGGCAATAGTTTTTAATGAAGGACAGCCTGCTCTGCTGTTGTGTTTAAAGAAATATTATGATTATGAGATCTGTCAGATTTTCATAGTACACATTTCTCCCTTCACTTTGCATTTGTCAGAAGTGATGCTTCTTTATCCCTGTGATTGCTGTATTAATGAAGTTAGCAGATGCTAGGGCCAAATATCTACAGAGAGAGAGAGAGAGGGGGGGGAGGGGGGGAAGCTAAGGCAAAGAGAAAGTAAAAGGATTAATAGAAGAATAACCGAAGAAGGAGAAAAATGAAAAATGCCAGGTCACACACAGATCTTGAGCACATGTTAGGTTTGCTCATTGTTAACAGGAGAAATCAATAAACCTGTATTATCTCTAGATTAGAAGTGTAGTGATGTTTTATTATTTACAGAGGTGTGGATCAACTTGGTTGATATGAATCAAGGTGTTCATAAGTAGATCTTAAACAGAATAAATCTCGTTATACCTATTTTACCTTTTCTTTAGTCAGTTATTGATGTTTGTTTGATTGACGGATTAAGATATATTTCACATATTATCCTTTGTTCATTCCACATTAATATTTCGGACAGAAATATTGGTCAGTTCTCACTTACAAATTACATGTTTGGACATCATGTTCAGATTTCAATTGTTATTATTAAATCTGATGTAAATTTGTGTTTTTAATAACATTTCTTTCTTATTTGTTGATTTAAAATTTCAAAAACAATACCAAAACATTAACCAGTATTTTTGCCCTTATCGGAGAAATTTTCATTTAATACTTAAAAAGGATACAAAACATTCTTCACTTTGTTTTGCAGAAATTTTAATTTAGAACTTCAAAAAGACTCCAAGATCTTCAGTAAAAATGCAGATATCGAATATGGAGATGGAAGTACAAAGCCATTGGACACCAGTTTTCTATACAGAGGGCAGTTACGGGGTAAGTGTACAAAGTATTTGGATTCACCTTTAACTTGCCAGCCCACTGACTGGTCAATCTTGCTAGTAAATAGAAACTTTAAGATATTTAATAGGTCAAATCAAAATTTAGTACTAGTAGTTAAAAATTTACATCTAGAGGTGATAGAAAATAATGGAAAACAATTTCTTAAATTTAATGCTGCTGTATGGGTGTGTTCACAATCAGACTAATGATTTAGGTAGTTTGAACTAACTCCGTGGGGACTCTTGCTGAATGTAATCAGATGAACAGAGTAACACACTTCCTCCTGGTTTTGAATAGAATACAGATATAAGCTGGTGATTATACGAGTACGTTGAATGCAAGAGGAGGCGAGAGTCTCTACGGACTACCTAGTACGTTACTTTTATTGTGAATGCGCCTTATAAGTGTGATGCCAAATCTATTATATCATTGCCTTTGGTGGCAGCCAAATCACACTTATCATCATTGAGAATTAATACTTGCTGCTGAAGTTTAAGATCAGACACAGTTCTTTATATAGAATCACTGCCTTATATACACTGCTGAATATGACAGTGTCTTGTGTAATGGTCATATATTTTGATCATTAAAATTGTCATCATATATGTACACAATTTCTATATATCAGAAATTGGTTAAATGACATGCCTTTAATTTATCTGACACAATGTACTTAGCTTTTATGTGTTTCTGTTTTCCTTTTTTCTTGTGAAAACTTGTGGATAAATGATTTTTTCTGCAACTCGATTTATTTCAACCACTTTTTTTCACAAAAAGGACACAACAAAAGAAATAATACACATACCATACCCAAAAAGTAGTTTTTTTTTTGCTACCATTGTTAGAATGGAATATATCAAAAATGAATATTTTAATCAACTTTCACCTAATACCTAATGACTATTGACTTTGATATTTAAGAAAGGTGGAAACTTGTTGTTTTCCTCTCAGTTTTGTGTGGAAGATCGGTCTTTACTTAGTCACATGATAAGCCAGTTAGATAGGCCCTCCTTGACCCTCACTCTTGGTCTTATCAGATAGAGGCAACGATGCCTGCCCTCTGTAATATTGGCCTCAGATCCTCATGCATTTTGATATCAGTAATTTAGGCCAGGGGGCAGCCATTATAGAGATTCCATCAGATTCCATCATCTTGTTTAGTTAGTTTTCTTCTCTGTAAAGTGGAAAAAGGTTATTCATACTTGATAAGGACAATTTTGTTGACAACAAGATTGAGTTAATGCAGTTCACAAATATAAAATGTGAGACTTTCACTGGCCACTTAATGTTAGGAATATATTTGAAATGTGGATACTGAATAATAGTATTTTATCCCACAGAATTATGTTAAAGTGTAAAAATAAACTGCTCTAAACTTCCCATTGGTAATAGTAACAGTGGTCATATTACTTATGTTATATGTAATCTAATTTGCGTGTATTTAAGGCAGCTTATCTTTAGTAATGGTGAAACGCCTGTTGTAAGTAAGTTGTATGTTTATCTCTCTAGCAACGCGATAAGCTGTAGTTGGGATCGAATTTTGATTTGCGTAATTTAAAAATAACCTTTGATAAAACGAGATCTCAGTCAATGAAAAAAGAATATTTGTCCAATATAAGTGTGTCAGTCAATTTGGAAATTTTAAAGAACAATAAAATTTTAGTCCAGTTGATGAAGAGGGTGTATAGATGTCCAGTTGAGTAACAGATGTCTAGTAAAATTCAATATTAATATAATTAATATATTATATACAAGTCAAAAATCATTTTACATTTGATCAAAGTGACGTAATCTAGATTGATGTATACTTTACAAGACTATTAGATGGCGGTATAATTATAGCAAGCATGGTCCACCAGTTGCCTGGATTTGTTGCAATCTAAGCACAAAGGGGAGGGGGGGGGTCAAGTATGGCACAGAGCAAACCTTTTCGAGATGTTGCCCCCATCTACTTATCCTCATGATATATGTTGGACTACCCTAGAGATATAAGTTATAAATAGAAACACATAATGAATACATGGTTGGGGCTCACTCCAAGATAACATTTCTTTTTGCCAAACATTTGGATTATTTTAGGCAGATCAGAAATGTAAACATTGTCACCATCATAGTCGGTGATATGAATAACTGTTTTAACGGACATCTTGATCAAGTCACTGAACACATGGTCCATCATGGTCTCTATTTAACTTTGCCAACAAAAATATTGCAGATCATTATGATAAAATGTCGGAGGCAATGTTCAAAGCTTCTCGTAGACAGATACAAGTTATTGACGGTGATCTGAAATCATTGTCTTTCTGGGCTTACCACAGGGTAAAATTTCCATCAGCTAAACATCTGATAATTTTAGCCTAACATATTGAACTTAATGATAATCAGTCACTGTGTTGATTTTGGCAGAAAAAGAGTGTTTTCCATTTTCTTTTGCTAATTAGAATTTAAGTAGAATTTGGACAAGATGCACAATGCTGTAATGAGCAAAGACTTAGATGTATGAAAGGCGTACCATTTTGGAGAAATATTTTCTCATCAGTGTCATAGCTATGCATAATCCACAAATGAACTTAGACATCTATGGTGACCCTGGTTTTTTTTTACCAAAGATAAAAATCTAAGTCCATTACTCATGGAATGCCTTTTTTTTTACGTACTCATACCCAAATGTTACATTTACTACTTATTTTGACTCCTTTATGTCAATGCCCTCTGTTTTCTTTTGAAACAAAAAGGTTTTATATATGAATTCAAAATTAAAATATTTTTTTTCTCATAAAGTGAGGTTAAATGCATGTGTTAATACTTCTATCACCACAGTCAATAAAATGCATTTACATCACCTGTAGCCATGAAGATACATTTCAAATACTGGTGGCATTTATAGTTAAGACAGTAGTAGCTAATCTGTATATTTGCGCCCCTCCCCTTCCAGGTGAGCCCGGGTCATCTGTGTATGGCAGTGTGTTAGGTGGAGTATTCACAGGAACCATTGAGTCTCCAGAGACTGGAAGGTGGCACATAGAACATGCCAACAAGTACTTCCCTAAAGAAGTCACAGAGAAGAAAAAGTTCCATTCCATCATCTACCATGAGGATCATATGGATATGGACCCATACAGGTGAGAAGCACTTCTAGAATTGTTATATATGAATATTATCTTTATTAAATATTTAATGCCACTGAGAGATTATTAAAACTCTAAAGATAAAGGCATGAACTTAGGGAAATATTGCATTTCTTTTTTGCCTCTATGATCCTCTAGTTTATTATGTATTCCTTATGTTTCTATTCTTTACTAATTTATTTGCAATAATGCAAATTTCAGTTGAAAACTGATCAAAATGATCTTAAACTTTATTGCACTGGTTTAAAAGAAAATTAATTATTGATACTGGACAAAAGTAGATTTTCAATCATTTCAAGGTTGTGAGCTCAAAACTTTACTTGTGGTTGAGCAGGCACAGTATTCACATGATCTTTAGCAGGACAAACACTGGTCCAGTAATGGTACATACCAAATAACATCTAAATTTATGTTTCTGGAAGGAGGCAGTGTGCCTATTTCACAAACTGTTGTGCCACATTGTTTTATTGTATACAAGGTCTCCTCTACCACAATTTTCATTGCTCTACCAGTATGATAACTCCACATGATGTGGCTTTGAGTAGAATTATCAGTTATCTGTTCACATTACTTTTAGGGCAATATTATTATTATCATTGATAATATTGCCAAAAATATCTTCCCATTTTGAGTTTTGCATTATGTTTATTCTGGGCCAATCTTTTGTGAAATGCTCAAAACCAATATCTCACAGTGAATTTTATTTTGGAAGTCTGTGCAACCTGAGTGGTATTCACTCAATCCAAAACTTTCTGAAAAGTTGTGAAATGGGTCCCTTGTTTTAAAGTTATCCTGGTAACTGTGTTATTTTTTTATTTTTTCAGGCATATCCGCAGTGCAGCTGGTACTGCTCAGTGTGGAAGTAGCAATAGTGACATTGCAGACTGGATGAGCAGAGTTCAGAATTCTGCTGTGGATGTAAAGAAGGTAAGGAGATTTGTACTTAATTATACAATGTGTATTAGATCTTTATATAGCAAAAATATAAATAAAAAATTAAAAAGGAGGGAGGATGAAGAGAGAAAATTTTCCTAGATATTAATTTTTCAACCTTTATGGATAGTTGTGCCATGCTGATTGTTGATTAAGTGATGAATAGGAGATTAATTTTTTAAAATTTGAAAATAGGTCTTTTCTCTGCATACTGCTCATTGTGCACCTAAATATTCATACTAAAAAAAAACATTTCTTTCTGTTGTATTTTGAACTAAAGAATTTAGAACAGCTTTGGAAGTAAGAAAATTTTTTAAGTTTCAAGTTCTTTGTAAAATGGTCCTTGATTATAAGAAGCAAATATGACTTTGCTTCTGCAGGGTTTGTTATAAATGGAGCTCTTGGATCCAAGTGACATATATTATATCTAGACAGTTATTTCTTTGCCATATAAATGGCATGTTGACAAGTACACAATAGAAAGCATCTTTTTGTCCTAAACCAAAATAAATCTAATATCTTAGTGAAAACTTCCAAATGACAGTCAAAATGAGTGTTTAATAAGCAAATAAGTAAAGAGCCTTGACACCTATAGATGTAAAGCAAGAAAATATTCAGTGCTGACACCTATATTTAACATTGGAGTATGCAGTCCTGACACTTATGTTTATGTTTCCAGAGAAGTTACAGGACGGCTACCAGGGAAGATCATCAGAGGGAGCACAATATCTATTCTGAGGCTTTGAACAGGGAGAAGCGAGAGGAAGAAAACAGGCAGAAGAGAGCGACTGTCACTGTAATCACTCCAGCAAATAATACCTGCAGTCTGCTTTTACAGTCAGACCCTGCACTGTGGGATCACATGAGTCAAATGCATAGTGTATGTTATATAGTTGAGGTCCAAATTGCTGCACCTTGAATATTTTGCTCTACTCTGCTGTACTCTACTGTATTTACCCTGTTCTAATTTGCTCCATTCCAGTCCTTGTTTATTAATGTTTGTATATTATGCATTATTTATATAATTGTTTTTTTAGTCTTGATTCTATTTCCTGTTTATTTGTTTTTTTATATATTTTTAGAAATTTTTACAGAAGGTTTTTAAGGAAGGATTTTATTTTTATTTGCCTTTAATGTTTTTAGATTTTAGTAAAATGGGTTCTTAGTTGTGATGTCAAGTGAACTAGTGCTTTAATCAAATTTTAAGTATTCTCTTTATGTTTTCATTTTTATTCAACCCACAGGATGACATGCGTACAGAAGAAGCCATTATAGCCATGTTTCATACCCATGTCACGGCCATCAAGGACATATATCAGAAGACAATATTTGAGACATATGATGGATCCAAGAAACTGACTGGTTATAGTTTCCGTGTTCAAAGAGTGAGGGTAAGTATTAGATATACCATGAATCAGCAAGGTGTATTTTAAAATACACATATTACATAGGCCTTGTTGACAAATGTTGTAAATGACTAATATCACTGTATGAGGAGAGAAGAAGACTCAGACATGGTGTAGCTTGCATTCATTACTTGTTTGTTTATGTGAGAAACTCAACATATGGAGCTTTTTTCTCAGCATCAAAAATGGTATGTTTATTGTTCATGTATGCATGTTACTATGTGGCAGTTTAAACAGATATGAGAAGCACAGGAGAACAGGCCTGTTGGCTTTTCTCATTCTAGGTGGCATGTGAAGTAATTCTCAAGTCAAGTTGTCAGAGTGAACAAGGCTGCAGTCGCAGTAGAAGATTTACAGTTACTATTTAACTTTAAACATAGTTTAATAAGTTCTTTTCTTTTTCAAAAAATCCCCAACTTTATGGTTAATTACCACCTACCAGAAGAATGATCTCAAACTATTTATACCATTAAATGTTACTTTCAGGTTTTCAAGCGTAGTGACTGTTCAGAAGCAAACGTGAAAGACTTCTGCATCGCACATATAGATGTCAGCAACTTCCTGAACCTAAACTCTAAAATGAACCACAACAAGTACTGCCTGGCGTACATGTTCACGTATCGTGATTTCACTGGAGGCACCCTGGGACTGGCGTGGGTGGGCTCCTCAGGAAGTAAGTGGTGCAAAGATTTTGTAATACGTAGCCAATAGTTTATCATACAGCTTAATTAATTACTGAATTTATTTATATGTTGATTGATTGATTGATTAATCGATCGATTTGAGATGAAAAGTTCTTTTGTCACAAACTTAGAAAAAGAAAACTCTTGTGAAGTATTTCAACATGTCATTGGCCATCTTCAAAAGGGTATTTGATTTTTACTATCTACCAAACTGATGAAACTTTTTAAACATGAATTTTAAATCATACATTAAATCACATAAATATTTAACTATTGTTTGTGTAATTATTCATATATGGAAGTAATGCATGCATGTGCACGCACGCACGCACGCACGCACGCACATACTAAAAATGTGACTTCTTCTTAAGGGGCATCTGGTGGCATATGTGAAAGATGGAAGGAGTACAGTGAGCAGGATAGCTCAGGCAGTAAGGTCACCAAAGTGTACAAGAGTCTGAACACAGGCATTGTGACCTTCATTAACTATGGGCAGACTGTTCCATCCAGGGTTTCCTCACTGACGCTGGCCCACGAAATCGGTCATAACTTTGGGTCACCAGTGAGTCCATAGTGTGTTAGGGCACATTCCCAATGAATCTGTTCTACATAGAACATTCCATCTCTGCAGGGACTCTCGTTGTATGCAATCAGATTAACAGATTAACACGCCTCCTCCTGATGTTGAGTAGAATACAGAAAAGTTTGTGATTTTAAGAGTGCATTAGAAACAAGGGGATGCATGTTAATCTGTGTATGTGAGTCTCTGCAGAGTTGGGAATAGGCCCTTAGAAAAGAGAAAGTGCATAGGATATATATATATATATATATATATATATATATATCATAT